ATTCTAGAAAAAACTTAATTTTTTTCCTACTACTGGATATTGTCACAAGATCTGGTATAATATAGCATAGGTACTAGGTAGATTTAAAATCCTGATAAATAGGATATGGTTTGATTAATAGATAGCAGTATTTGTAGCATTAGTGGAACAAGGATCTTATCAATGAGCATCTTTAGCATATTATCAAGAGAAAACCTACATAAGTAGATTTAAAATTTTAATAAATAGGATATGACATATAGCAGATGTTGTAGAACTAGTGGGGCAATGTCTTTTATCAGTGAGGATCTTTACCTTTTTATCAAGAGAAAACCTATCATTCATGACAAAATGATCTGCATATATGAATAAGGAATTAGCAAGCTAGGACTTATCTGAACAATTCTTGTGGTGAACTCTATTAAGGCCTCAAAGGAGATGTTTGAGCCCTCTAATTTTTCATTTTACTCTTAAAGTATGTTTTCTGGTTGAACACTTGTATCATTATTAAATATGATAGTTAGAAATCAAGTTTTTGTCAACTCGACCTTGGTAGTTTCTCTTTGCATATCATACATAAATATGCATAGAATAATATCTAAAAGACGACTTCGAGCATATTGGAAGGAAACATTGAGAAGATGAAGATGAAGGAGAAATTTTGTATGTCATTCTCGTGCATATGCAATTGTCAATATACACATATGTATATATGAATGTGTGCATTTATAATTTATTCAATGATTGACAAGAAATCCACTTTATCATATTTCGTTAATAGCTGTGGAATTTTCCTTTTTCACTTATTTAAGGAACATCTTATATACTAATTCAATGTGCCAATACCTTTAGCTTCAAGTACCCGATGAAGCTTTGTCACTGCTTATGGGAATGGGTTACAAAGAAAATGCAGCAAAAAGGGCCCTAAGAATGACTGGTCAAGATGTTCAATCAGCAGTTCATTTCCTGGTTGAAGAGCAAGCTAGGAAAATACTCAGGAAACAGGAGAACATTCAGCGACAAGCGGAGATTTTGTATAGCTCTATACCTTGCCATAGAATGTTTTCATCTTATTTTTTAATTAATGATTGTTGCTGATTGTTTGAACTTGTAGAGAACAGAAGAGTTATGGTGCAACCCCCAATCACAAGCCCATTAATCTGCAAGAGTTAAATGAGTTGGTATCTATTGGGTAAGCAAGTAAATGCTATTGATCCTTTATGATCTTTCATTTCTACCAGTATCACATATTCTATCACAGAGCATATGCCGCTTGCTACTTCTGAATTAATATTTTGTTGTTATTGAATTGTAAAAGCCTTGGAAGGCCAAGTATCTGATGTGAGTTTTCCCTCGTATTTATTATCTATTGGGTTCATTGTACAAAAAAACAATTACATCATATTTTTCCATATGCACCGGTAATAATATCCTGAACTCATAGACAAAGCTTGCACCGTTTCAAATATGTGACTATCTGATTTAGCATATGCTAACCTAGAATAAATGCATGTTCCTCATATCTCTAGGTAATCTTCTTATGTTTTCCACAAGACTCCAGGAATTATTTCGTACTAAATTTAAATGCTAGTTAAAGGTCTCCACCTTTTAAGGTTAATCCATTGGGTATGAGTAAGATAGGACTAGGTTAAAATAAACAGAGTTCAGAGATTCCTTGTAGCCCTTATACACTGGCCCTCACTTGATTTTCTGATTTTTGCCACATACATTTCTTTAGACTACTTTAATAGTGTTATCTGGCAAAGTGGTTCTTCTTAATGACCAAACAGCTAGGAGACGTAAAATCTGTGACGCACATCTTTCATAATATCCTAATTTGCTTAACAAGCTTATACAGCAATGTGGCTGATTTCAGCTTGGTTCATAGCAGTAATCAGTTCCCTACAAGGACTTGAATGCTGATTACAACTGCACCAATGTGCATGAGCACAGAGTGGTTTCGAAGTCATAGCAAATTTACAAACAAGGTATGACTTTGAGGTGGAGGTGGTAAATCTGCTATTTTCAAGATTTAATTGATGAAAATTTGATCATATTTAGCTGAGGCCACAAAAAGGTTCACTTAAGAATGAAGATGAGTTCCATGTTTGGGCTCTTAATAATTTGTTAGATGGGGAGGTAACATTGTTGAAGAAAATCCTTTCTAGTTAAAGTTTGACTTGTCTTCTATTTCTTGTGTTGTGTTCTCCCGAAGGAATCGTTACATGATTTTCAGTACTAATAAATCATGGAATATAGCAGACTGTGACAGATGTAATGGCTTTGCTTATATGGATTGTGGAACATTAGATTGTGTCAGGCACTTATCATATTGCTCTCTGGTGTCTAGGATCATTACATGTACACTACTTGTCAATCTATTTTGCAGTTTTGAGAGAGATCTTGCTGCAGAGGCTCTCAGGGTGAATGAAAATGATGTTCAAAAAGCATTAGATCTGTTGACAAATCCTGAAAGAAATTGTGCCCTTCAGGTACTTGGTTTTCTTCAGAGTGCTTTTCTGTTATTATTTTCACTAACTAATGACCTTTTGACTTCCAGAGTCGACTTGAAAAGAGGAGGAAGTTGGGAGTATCGGGTTCATCAGGTGCAGACATTGAGGAATTAGTATCCTTGGGTTATAACCGATCATCAGGTATTTCATCGCTTGATTTATTCCTTAGACAATCAAGTGTTTCATGAATTTATTTTTGACAAGGGTGCCCTTCTCATGATGACTCCCAGGCATCTAATTCTGCCCTAGTTATCTAACCATACTTATTTTCACAAACAGCAAGTTCCATATGTTTGATCATAGATCTCCATTAGCTCCAGTTACTGTCCAGTACTTGCATTCGGAATTAACTATTCTCGACTGCAGTTGTGGATGCTGTGCAAAGGTCACATACCAAGGAGGATGCGTTGAAACTTCTTGTCGGAGCAAATTCAGAGGACAGCCAGCATGCTACAATCAACCAACCGAAAGATGATCAAGAGCCACCATCGACTGCTTTAACTAATGATGATAAAATGGATCTGGGAGAAGAACACAAATATCCAAGAGACGAAGTCATGGAAGACGAGCTTGCGAAAGAACTGACAGGTGATCCATTGGCAGACTACGACATGGAAGTAATGAAAGAAGGAGAGGCCATAGCAGAGTATTTGGCCCTTCTGGATTCAAAAGCCAGTGCAACATAGGAAATAAGACACACAGGTTCTTCGAGAATCCAGTAAATAAGTAACATACTTTTATAAAAGATACGAGTGTGATTTCTTTTCTAATTAGCCTTAAGGTTTCTTTTTTCTCTTTCTGTAATCATCATTTCCAAAAGAGTTTTTATGTATGTCTGGCACTGTGCATCCAGTAGCGGAGAGGTCATATATGGTGTTCTATATTTAAAGTATCTTGCTTTAAGGGAAAAAGCCAGAACTAGTTGTTACCCTAAATTTACACTCCACTTTGGTTGGAAGTGAATGTTCCAGGATTTTTACTGTAGGCGACAAAACATTTCGTGGCGATTTTCTTATATGGAGCGTAATAAGGATTAAAAAGAAATCTATAAAATGTTTTGAGAGTACATATCATGTTTCAAAGCCCACCAGGAAAAGCTTATCTAGATGAACTAAATGAACCTTGAAAACTGCCATGATGTGGCCTCTGGTAGAACCTGATGTAGCAGTCAATTACATGGTCGTTAATCTTCGGGATAGATTATATGGCTGGTGTTCAGTCTACCAGCTGTTCTTCCTTCCCATTTCTAGGCGCACAGCTAAAACCAAAAAAAGACAACTCCCTAAGAACTTCAGATCCTGTCACACTTACAAAATGTGGCAAAACTAGTCAGTCAAATGGCAACACTACTACCCTGTCTAAAGATGAGAGAGGGAATAAAATTGACCAAGGGATGTCTTTGTCCTCTTGGATCAAAGAGACCTGATAAAGTGATTGCCCTCTCTATCAAAAGAATGTGTGAATCGAAGACCGAGCTACATTTCCACATAGGGAACACATAGCATTACTAGAAATCACAAGAGTAGTGAATCTATCCCTTATTACGAGATAACAGTGCAATAGCTTCTAACAAAATATCTTCACCGTAGGGTGAATGCACAACTAGCACAAACTAAGCCATCCATCCCGATCAGAAAACAAAAGGACTCATTAAGAAAAGTAATAAGTTGACTTACAAGATGGTTTCTAGATGCTTCATTCTTTCAAATCCAATCGAAGGTTTTCTTTGTGCTTCATGCTTTCAAATACGACAAGTCAAAATGCAAAAAATTTCAGATACGACAGAATCAAACGTAAGCAAAAACTTGTTGACATCCTTCGTCTGATCGCAAATCAAAGAGCCAACTGAATCCGAAGGCAAAAAGATGAGAAACATAGTAAAAGGTCAACGTAAGGGATAAAGGGACTTTGAAAATCCATATTTCAAATAAAATACTGGTTGATTCGCCATGAAAATGCTTCCTTGACCAAAAGTAATGTTGTACTAATCTTCCATCTTGATTGTTATATTAACTTTCAATTGTTTTTTTTTTAGACATCAAGACATAAGATATTAATTAATTATTTTTCCATTGTTACCTTTACAGCTTTACAAGTTTTAAGACTGGTGAAGCATGAAAGTGATACTGAAGTTAGGTCATCCTATTATTATGCACTTGATGATTAGATGCCTTTGCCTTACGCTTCCAATAATAGATATACCATGTTGAATATGAATGATAGATACAAATTGGATCTGTTATGCCTTCAGGCGTTAGCTTATGTGTTAAGAGAAACTTTACAGAACCACTAATGATCGAACAAGCTGTAAAGTTCGAATTTGGTTTATTTGCATACTTATATTTATCTTGGTTCGTAATGTCTCTTGGTTGGACTGGAGATACAGCTGACTAGAAAACAAGCCAAATCAAGATATAGATGAAATTTTACGGTATCCAAACTATGCTTTATCGTAACGTTCATCACTGACAATAATATTTAATTATTTCAAAAATCAAAACAGAGACCTTTTTATTTAATTTAATATTATTTCATTATATTAAATTGCCCATAAGAGGCTTTTACATGAAAGAGCCTCTCATACCTATCAACACTGTTTATATGAAGTGCAACACATATCTGTAACGATGCTACTACGACGATGACAATAACGACGACGACGACACCGATGAAGACTCCTGAGTTGAAGTGCATGTATGAAAAGGACAAGAAACGACTACGAGTGTTTGTTTTTGGATAAAGGTCAGGTCACGGAGATAGGAATGCGAGGGATGGCACGCAGGCAGAGGTCTGACCTCCTCCGGCACGTAAGCAAGAAGGTCTCGCTCATGTCCAACTCGTGAGGCTTCCCATCATCTCCCGTTGGGATCTCCCAATCAAAATTGTAGAGAACGCAAGCCAAGGAAAGCTCTATGCTCGCCAAACCAAATGACATCCCGGGGCACATCCTTCTGCCTGCCCCGAAAGGTAAGAACTCGAAGTTGGTTCCCTTGAAGTCGATCATGGAATTCCTACTCTCGAATCTCTCTGGCTCAAACTCAGTGGCATTGTCCCAGTATCGAGGATCCCTTCCCAAGGCCCAAACGTTCACGAAGACTCTCGTCTTCTCTGGTATCTGATAACCAAGAACCTCGCACGCCTCCCGGCACTCTCGGGGGAGCAGCAGAGGAACAGGAGGGTGCAGCCTCAGAGTCTCCTTGATGACCAGTCTCAAGTAGTTCATTCCGTTGATGTCGTTCTCCGTCACCTTTCCCTTTCCTCCGACAGTCTCTCTCACCTCCTCTTGCACCCTCCGCATCACTCTTGGATTCCTCATCAGCTCCGACATGGCCCACTCCAGTATTGTTGCGGAGGTCTCGCTACCCCCACCGAGCATATCCTTTACGTGTTTGTTGCAAAAGGAAACCAGAAATTAGATTCTCGAAACTGCGACTGTAAGGAAAGATTAGGGTTTCAGAAAAAGCATACCAGCATAATAGCTTTCATGTACTCGTCTGCGAACGGGAATGACAGGCGACCTTCAGCTTGAACTCTCAGCATCACATCGACCAAGTCTTCCTCCTCCTCCGGTTGCTCCTGGGACTTCCTCTCTTTGTGCTCCTGAATAATGCTATTCAGGATCGCGTCCATTTCACTGTGGAACCTCTGCATCTTGGAAGTTGCGCCACTGAGAAGTTTAATTATCGGCCATGACGGGAATAAGTCCGCCAAACTGAAGCCTCCGGCAGCTTCCAGCGTTTGCGTCACTATCCGTAGGAAATCTTTCTGGTACTTGCACTTGCTCCCGATGATGGACCGTGCGGCTATGTCATTAGCCAACAGCGCAAATTTCCTACTGAGGTTCACGGTGGAACCAGCGTTGGACAACAGGACTATCGACCGCACAAGATTAAGCACCTCCTCTTCCCGGATAAAGCGAAAAGATTGGACTCGCTTGGCACTCAATAGCTCCACGATGCTCATCTTGCGCAGCTCCCTCCAGTGGAATCCATACGAGGTAAAGCCGACGCCCCTGTCACCGTATGTGGCGGTCTGGAGAGTCAGGTTGGTGGGCCGAGAGGCGAAGCTGATGTCGTGGGTTTTCATGATCTCAGCAGCCGCTTCGACAGATGAGACAACGAGGGTGGGGAGCTCACCAAGCTTCAGGAGTATGACGGGGCCAAATTTCTTAGATAAGGCAGTGAGGGAATGATGCGGCAGGGCATTGAAGAGATGGTGTAAGCTGCCTATGATAGGGAGCTTAGATGGACCGGGAGGCAGTGTGGCACGAGCTCCTCGACTGGACCTGTTCTTCTTGAGAAGCAGGAGCGATACGAGGAGGACGAGAAAGGAGAAGAGGAAGGCTGTATTGGTGAGATCCATGCTTAATTAGTTTTCTGGTAATGAGACACCACAGGCCCCTCCACCCTTCTTATACACATGACAGTTATGAGTTTCGCGTGCAGTTTCCCGATTGCGTAATGACAGACGTTATCGTATCATCACAGAGTTGAATTAGAATAGTTGACACATGGCATTAAACCGGGGTGGAAATCGACTCACCATGTTTTGTGACTGGTTCATCTGGAACAAAGTCGATGGTACAACAAAAAAAATAATGGGATCACAATGGTGGCGGTCAGATTCTGCAGCTACTTTAGAATGAGAACAAACTATAAAATACGATAAATAATTGTTATATATATTATTTTTTCTAGAATCTCTACCTACGCCAACTTTCAGTTTGTAGTCGATTGTTTCGCCACAAGCAATCCGCCATGGACGTGTTCCTACTCCGAGCGTGTTAGTTTCATTCATCATCTTTTTTTAGCAAGTTTCGTAACGCAATTGTTTCGTTGCATGTGTAACTTATATACGTGACTGTGCTTAGTTTTTGTATATGGCGTCGATGTGTTTTTTTAGCGTTTAAAGGTACAAATAACTTTCATTTAAATCAGAAACACACAGCAAGTGGGTTGGACGACATGCCTAAGTTATCCTGTTTACCAAAAAAGAAAGTTAACCAGTGAGCTTTGCAATTAGAGGTTCTTGGTACGAAACTTAGGACAAAAGACTGTAGAGTGGCCATCAAAGCTTGATATCAGAGATGATGGCTCTAAGGTACGATGGGATTTCCTCGGAGCCATTGATGACGGAGATGAGGGACTGTGAATTAGATTAAATCCGCAAGTTGATCGATCCAATGTAGATCCTCCGCATGTTTGAGCGCTTCCAGGACAGCAAACGCTTCCGCCATCAAATGGTTATGTGCGTTGCAAGAAGAGCAGCCCGCGGTCATCGTCGTAGTATAGGAAGGGTAAAGGAAGCAGAATCCTGTACCTGCAGTTTGAACATTGAAGGATGCAGCCAAAAAAGGGATCCAGGGTAAACGACTGACGTGATCTTATCTTCAAAGTTAATTTGGAATAAAGCTATCACTTGTTACGTTAATTTTGAAGAATATGCAAATCTTTAGCATCATATCACAATGTTTTGACGATGGTTCATCTGGGACAACATTTTCATGCGGCACTTGAAGGAAAAGTCGAAAGTGTAATCCCTCATGCTCTCAGGAACTTTCTAACGATGCATCAGGGTCGGTCTAAAAAATGTAAAGAAATATACATTAAGAGTTTCCTGGTGACCCTCGTACGCTGCTTATATCAGAAGTTGCTTCACAAAGGTGACTAAAGCTTCACGAGCCTTATGAATGGAGAGCGGAAAAAAAGATAAAAACAGAGTTTCTAGATTACTACGGTTTGCCCTATCTTTGTAACTATGAGTTTTCGTGGTATGCCAAGAATAACATCGCACCGTTGAAGAAGATCATCTATATCATATACGGTGGGAAAGAATATTCTCTATTTTGGCACGTATCATGTCATTTTGATTTCGTGAAGTCATGGCGATGGAACGAGTCTATCGCTAGAGGATGATGGTTCACCTTATCTTTTGTCATCTACAAACACTGACATGATTTGACAGTCTACTAGAGATTAAAATACAATACCGTAGACCAGCAAACACGAACAGACGATTCGCCGGCTTCCTAGGGATTAAAATACAAGAGCTTAGACCAGCAAGTATGAACACAGACTTGCTAAGGTATCATAGTGTTTCTTGACCTGTTCCCTATGTAGAGTGCACATTTTGGCCGAAGGAGGGGTATCGATATTTTCAAAGTTGATATATTGACATGGATGTGGCTATGTCTTCCGATATGAAATGTCAATATGGGTTTGTTAATAGAGCTAGATGTCAAAATAGTTTTCTAGGAGAGTAGATGCGGTCATATGCTAGTATTTGACCAGGGTGCAATATCCTCCCTAATTACCAAGAAATGTAGGTGTATGATTAATCTAAAGTTGAAATCGATATTATAAGACTTATTCATATCAGAGTTTTACTGGCATATCAGACATTTTAGAAAAGTCATACTACAACTTTGATGTCGCGTCTATGTGCATAAAAGTCAGATGCATGTACGTTATCTACAATTGATTCACTCTTATAACGCAATTTATGTTTTGATGTGATATGATACTAACCTAAAATTTGATTAGCTCGCGATTTGCAACTGGCAGCAGCGCAAACATAAGCTGATGTTTACGTAGTTGATGAGTCGACGCCTTTGAAGTTTCAACAGCATCCACGGTCAAGCTGACTGGGTGATACTGATGGTTAAGAATTGCAGCTCCACAAAGCCACAAAGTTGACGGCATCTGCTTGATTATGTCCACTCTTGGACAAAGTTTACCTTGGTGGTCATAATCTATCAAAAAGAGTTGGATCACAACAATAGATAGTTTTTAGTCAGAGTTGATCGAGGAAAATCCGACTTTGACAGATGATAGTGATAAACCATTGATTTGGTTTGAAATTTTCATCCATAAACGTCAATATTATAAACCTGCAAGTCCTAATCATAATGAAGTATGCGTGCAACTGAGAAGCACTCGAGATATTATTTATGCAGATGCCATCTATTTGAAGTTCATATTTGCATAGGTTTAGTGCTAGGAAAAGTATATTTCAATTTATTTGCATGCGTACGTCGACTATTGGAGGTAGAATTAGCTTCCTTCGTCATATACATGACAGTGCTTAGTTTTGTATATAGCTTCCATGTCACGTGGCGACTTCCATGACAGTCTTCCTAATCAAATTGCGTTGATTTAGAACTGCATTACAAGTCTTTACACCACAGTGGCCATTAGTTTAGTATCATATCAAATCACAATGTATTGGAACAGGTTTATATGTATATACATACATGGAAACACTCAAAGACACGGCCGGCCGTCTTCAGAGGCCATCAGTTGTATTATTTCTTTGAGCATGCGGTAAGAGGAATTGCCAGTTGGAAGTCAAATCAAGAATCCCAGGTTTGGACTGTTGCCCTCGTTGAATAGTGTTTTTAGAAAGGGCACCCACGAGTTCTGGGTGCAAACCAGTGGACCATCTGCGTGCATCTCTGACGCGCAACAATGAATGGACGATTCTCAACCCTCAATTAATGCAAGCACTGATTGGTGTATCCAAAAGTTTTGTAAGACAGTGATCACGTTGACAATGCAACGTATACCAAAAATTTGCAAGACAGTGACGAGACAATGGTTGACAATGTAATAGACGTTGGTCAAGTTTACGGTTCCCTCTGCGCAAAGCAATCGTTCATATCCATATGTTTTTCTTACTTGTCTCTGTATCAAAGAGCCATATGTTTTCTTACTTTTCTTAAAATTGCGAACGGTTATGAATTTGACTGTGGTTTGCCCTCTCTTCTTATCATGTAGCTACGAGTTTTTGTGGCTGTCTTCCGATCTGAAATGACGGAGTGAGTTTCTCGATAGAGCTAGATGTCAAAATAGCTTTCTAGGAGAGTAGATGTGGTCATATGTTAGTATTTGACCAGGGTGCAATACCCTCCCAAATTACCAAGAAGCGTAACTGCATGATTAATTCAACGTTGAAATCCATATATAAGAATTATTCTATCAGAGTTTTCCTCTATATCAGTCATTTTAGGAAGAGTCATACCAGTACACAGACGTCAGATGCATTGGCTCTATCTACACTTGACTCAGTCATACATCCCTGTCTATGTTCCGATGTGATGTGATGCTAACCTAAAACGAATCTGATTAGCTCACGGTTTGCAACTTGCAGCAGCACAAACATAAGCTAACGCGTTCCTATGGTTGATGAGTCGACGCCTTTCAAATTTCGACTGTCAAGCTGACAGGGTGATGGTCGATGATTAAGATTTATAGCTCCCTCTCCATAAAGCCATAAAGTCGACAGGATCTACTTGACTATGTCCATTAGTCGTCATAATCCATTAGCAAGAGTTGAATCACAAGGGATTTTATGGTTTTAGGTCAGAGTTGATCAAGGAAAACTCGACTTTGAAATATGAGAGTGATATGGTTTGGTTTGAAATTTACATTCATAATCTTCAATATTGTAAATCTGCAAGTCCTAAAACACGGATCACAGTGGCCATTAGTTTAGTATCATATCACGATGTCTTGGGACAAAATTTGTGTGGCGCGTAAAAGAAAAGTCGAAGGTGCAGACACTCAGAGACGCATCCCGTGTTCATATCACGATGTCTTTAAGCATGTAGTATGACGGATGCATACGAAGTTGACATGTCGAAGTCAAATTCTTAGATCCAAGTTTAGACTGTTGAACTCGTTGAATAGTTATCTTATAATGGGCGCTGACGAATTTTGGGTGCAACCCAAAAACAGCAATAATGAGGCACGCAGCAACGAAAGGCCATTCTCAATCGATGCGAAAAACACAGCGGTGAATCCCATAAATTCGTAAAACAGTGACGAATGAACGGTTGACAATATAAGAGTTGATTGATAGTTACCTTTCTCGCTCTCTGGCGCACAAATCAACAGTTCATGTCGACACCTGCAAAAATTTTTCTCTACTTGTTTCTGCATGAGAACAAACGATAGTGCATCTATCAACGTTTTAAGGGTAATATCGTGATCCCATAATGTTTGAGGTCAGAGCTGACCCAAGAACTCTTGACTTTGTCGGATGATGATGTCGTATATATGGATCGGTTCCGTAGAACCATTTAGTTAATGAACTGATTACAGAAACGACAGTAATATAAAACAACCGTAGAGAAAGATAATTGAGAACATCTAATGCATTTACTCTTTAACTCGTGCTTTTGTCTTCTTTTCATCCTCCTCTTTGGAACTCTAATGTCCTGTCCTGATCAATGTGGCTGTCGTTGGGATTCCATGACATTATCGCCATGCTCGCATGCATCTTGTCCTCGTTGTCATGGCCGTAAGTGAGATTCGCCATTGTTATCATAGAGTAAATAGAAAAAAATTTACTATAAAAATAATGAATATATAAATATGAAATTTTTTTTTTCAAAACTTAAGTAACAATCACAAGAAAATATTTGAGATATAAGGATTATATCACTGTACACAATATCCAAAATTTCTCCAAGTAATAATAATAAGAATATATAGACTGATATGAGAATAAGAACACTATCCGAATAATTAAGAACCGTCTCTATATTATTCTTGTCTTTTTCTATTTTTTCTCTTATTTTCTGTCATTTTCTCTTTTTTTTAATCACGTTGCTGTTGTAGTTTTCTGTCCCTAATTTTCTGCACCTTTTTTACGGCTAACACACCCCCTTATTAGATCTATATTTAGGTTAATAAGGGAAGTGGGTTATGGGTTGTTAAAGCCCACTATAAGTTGAATCAATGAGTTGTCTATCCAACAACCTCTCCCTTCAGCTCATAAGGAAGGTTGTCCTATGACTCCTCAATATGAAGTCATACCGACTAGTTGTCGACATATCTCTTATCTTTCTTTTGGTAAGGTCTTTGTTAATATGTCTGCTCCGTTGTCATCTGTGTGAATTTTCAGAAGTTACAATTGTTTCTCTTCAAGTACATTTTGAATCCAGTGGTATACAATATCTATATGTTTTGATTTAGAATGAAAAGTTTGGTTCTTACACAAATGGATGGTGATCTGATTGTCACAATGCACCACATAATTTTTTTTTCAACCCTAATTATTGTAACAATTATTTTATTCATAATATTTCTTTGGAAACCTCTATAGCAGCAATATATTCTGCCTTTGTGGTAGAGAGAACAATACATCGTGGACTTCCTTGTATCAATATATTTTACCATATCTGTATCTGTGTAACCTATAAACACACGCGATCTACCTCCAAAGCTTAAATAAACTTTAAAATTCTCTCTGAGATATCTAAAGATCTAATTCATTGCTGTCCAATGTTCTTTGCTTGGATTTGTAAAAAATTTACTCGTAACACCTACTACATATATGATATCCGGCCTCTACATACTATAACGTATATTAAATTTTCAAATGCTGAAACATACAAAACCTTTTATATTTTCTTCTTCTCCTCATCATTTGATGGACTCTAAACCTTTTTCAATACATTCTTGATATATTTCACTTGTGATAACCAAATCTTCTTGTTTTTTCTATTATGTAAAATCTATAGAGAAATTTAGGAATGACATAATATGCACAGTGGAAGAACAGAAAATAAAAACCTCAAATTCCTAAAATGGTGTTAATCATCGAGCGAAAATTATTATATAAAAATCCGCAAAACTTAAAATCACGCGTGAAATAGTTGTGTTACCTCGGGAGATCGTATATCCCTAAATCCCTATTAATCTGTAGGAGATGATAAAAGAGATCAAACGTCGCATCCTCCTCTCTAACAATGATCCACACATCATGGTTATGATGAATCGTTATCCAAAACTTGACATCTACTATTTAAAGAGGAGAATGAGAGAGGAGAATAGGAGGTAGCAACTAAAAAAAATATCTAGCCTATAGGTGTTTGATACTCTTCTATTTATAGAGACTTTATGTCAATTTAACTCTAATTGATCTTGTTTTATTGAGTATTGGATCTTCGTCCAACTACCCAAGCCTTTTAGATTGATGGATCTCTATCCAATAATCTCTCATTGATTTTTATTAGATTTCAGAATCTAATAATTAAGAACCTCATATCTCATCATGAATCTCTATCCAATAATCTCTCGTTAGTTTTACATATATCAATTTCTACGTCCACCTCACACAGTCACACCTTTCGTTAGGATTTCAATGTATGTCATTACCGCATTACTCGCATACATCTTGTCCTGGTGATCACGGCCGCCACTGCTACCATGCTCGCATGCCGTTGACGAAGTCGCTTCACAGTAAATCCTCTCTCCTCCTCTCTCAGAACTTTGCATTATCCGTGAAACTTCAAAACCATCACCCTTGTTTTTTTTGCTTTGTTGTTATCTTTACGATCTAAAATATTCCTTTTAATTTCTTCTGCTTTATGGTTTCTACTGTGTGTTTACTAGGGCTTTTCTTCATATAAATAAATTCACAGAAGTTGGAGTGAAAGGCAATCGATTGGTGAGAGGCCAAACTTTCGTGTTATATCTTTTTACTTCTTCATCATATTGTAATGTTTTAGATTCTACAAGATGGTTAGCATATACTGATTAAGATTCAGTGACCGTTAGGATTAACCCTGTGACATGATAGTCAAGTTGAATCTTTATTTTGATGTCAGTTGTAGAATAACATGCTTTTTACTTTTAGATCGTCCTATTATGGACATATCAAAGGTAAGCAAGAAGGGAGCTACACCATAAAGTGATTTAGTTTCCTAAGTGTCAGTTTATGAGATAAGGGTGATATACTGATTAACCCTATGGCATGATAGTTAAGCTGAATCTTTATATTGATGGTTAGGATATACTGTGATATCCAGGAAGACTATATTGATAATTAAGTTGAATCTTTATATTAAGGTGATATCCAAGAATGTTCTAAATATAGATGAATTAAGCTTTGGAAAGAGTGATTAAAGGTCAACTAAGATGTGCAACAAATATCCCTAAAGATTAATTTGATTTTGTACCTTGATGAACAACAATTGGAGCTATTTATTTATTAAAATAATTAATATAAAAATAAATAAAGAAAAGAAAAAAGATTTGTATATGATTTTTATCGATTTGGAGAAGTATTATGATAACGTTTCTATACATTTATTATGGCAAGTTTTAGAATAATAATATTTATTTATAAATTATATCAATATTGATATATATTTTAGTATAGTTACTAGTGTTAAAATTACAGACGATTCACATTACATCATTAGCTATTCACTTTGGGAATGGATGAACTATCTGATCATATTCAACCTTCTTAGTCTATTCTATTTGTTAATGATATTATTTCAGTTGGTGAGACTTTAAGTCAAATTACGTATAAGCTTAAAAATTAAAAATTTTAAATTTGGGTAGGACTAACATTCGATATATATAATGTAATTATAGTAACACTAGAGTAGATCTAAAGATATAGTTAATTTGGGTGGACATCAAAATCTATTAATTATAATTTTATATATCTTGAATCCATTATTCAACAAGATAGGAATATCAAGAATTTTGTATGATCATCAGATATCTCTTAGATTAAAAAAAAGTAAGATTATTGTTAGAATAATAATATTATATAAATCTGAGTGTTGATCAGTTAATAAATAATGTATGTAAAAAAAATTATTATATATCACTAAGATAAAAATATTAAAATGGATATATCGAGTTACCGTTAAAAACATATACTATTAACTATAAAATTTATGCTACAAACATTTCACTAAAGAGTATTTATTGATAAACTTGTCATTGAAAAAAGTTTCAATGATAAAACTAATTTGTCATTAAGATGTCATCACTAAGTGTTTCTAATTTATAAATTCGTCACGATATTGTTACTGTCATAAATATTTTTTTTTATTTTTTGACGATAATTTTATGATTGTAACAAATGTTAATTTATTCGGCAAATATTATCTTTATTGTTACTAAACTATTAACACAGAAAGATCATATATTGTCACTGATACTTATTATGTAATTTTTGAATTTAAAGGATTCTATACATTAATTTTATGAGGGATGCACGATCTGGACCGTAGGATAGTCTGTGTTTTTTGGGACCTTCGGATTGCTCGATCCCACGATCAAGATTAAAAAGACAAAGAATACCCTAAATGCTTAGACTCGCGCTCTGCTGCCAGAGGCGGATCCCGTTACCAACGGCCGATTCCATCTTTTGGAGAAGCGAAACCCGATGTCACCGTCGGCGAGACCTCAGTCTCTTCGTCTTATGGAAGAGCGACCGAGCCTCGCTGTTGCTACCGCTGCTGGCCGAGGGGCATCCCCGGTTTAGGTTGAGTTCGTCATCGACTACCTTACCACTTCTTCTTCCGCCCTTGCGATCGATGCACATCCATCACGTAGCTACTGACGAAGTAAGCTATTTCCCTTAGCATTTGCATTGTTGTTTTATCCTTTTCAACAAGTTGTGTGCTCTGGACGGCATTTCTCTTGTTCTTAGTCAATTGGTTGAGGTTGAATCGACCCTTCCATTGATAGAATTTGTTGGAAACATCAAGACTATGCGTCTGATGGCAATGAGGAAGATCGGTTTTTACTCAAAACGACCCCTATTCTGTGACTAAAATTTTGCCTTATAATATTTTGTAAGAAAGTGATATTACAAATCAACACTCTTTTTTCTTTTGAGATTGAAACTTATAATCTTATCAAGTAAATATGAGTTAGTACCAAAATTTAGGGCTAAAGAGAGGGCATCACCAAGATTGCTGGAATCTTAAATAACTTACAAGTGGAAGAGCCAGCAATGCGACTGATGTGATCATGCATCATGTCTTAGTATCTTTTGTCAAAATTATCTTTCCAATTTGTAATATTGATGGTAACAACTTTGTTATGGTTCTCCAGATGGTCATTCCTCAGATAAATGTGTTGGACCAGGAGGTACTTTTCTTTCACATTTTAGATTATTGATTTGTCTATAACATTATGTAGATGATTGAAAAGTTTTCACCGATGTGTTTGATAGGCTTATCTAATTTAATTCACTCACTTGATTTTTGAAGTGGACAATAAAATGTGGTAAATACTTGGTATTTATGATTTGCTAAACATCTTAACCTGATAATGATGATGATGATATCGAATATAAAGAATCATTACCATTGATATACTTGCATAGTAACAAATTTCAGCTGTTAAATAGTTTTAGACTGGTTACTTTTTACTAAACAAAGCAGAAGTCCAATTTTGTTCTTGTTGCATGTGATGGTTTGACCTAATCTTAAGCAAAGATTACATATATTAAAACTTGGAACTCACACTTTAGCTCTTTGGTCTGTTTATTTTAAGATATTAATATATTATATAATATTGAATTAAAGCTTGTTGTATCTTTACCTAGAATGTGATGCTTGATTAATTATATTGCATGTTTTTATTTATTGTCAGACACCCTTTGCTAATTATGCATCATATGGTATATGCTGCACTTAAGGATTTCTTCAGTATTGTTATACTGTCATCCCCATCAGTTTGTTTAGCTTCCGAGATCTCTTTCCATATAAAATTACTGTTTGAAACTAAAATTTACTTGCATTTACTAGAGCATTTCTTTCTTTCTTTATGTTGGTTAAGGCTTGGTGATTTCTTTAGAAATCTCTTTTATAAGTTCTCTGATTTGATATATAGTGCAGGTTGGTATGGTGACACCTATGTGCCTTCATCTAACATCCAAAGATCTGCTAGATAAGGTCAGTCCTGGAAGATTTTAAACTCTACAAAACTGAATAATACAAATCGATAACTCTACTGGTCTTTTTATTTAGTTGGTTAATATATATGTAGATGCCTTTGGACATTAGTAAAACCAAATATAAACACTCTTAGAACAATGTTCTTTTGGAAACAATATTCTCTTAGTTCTGAATGATTTCGATTCATGGAGAATTTTTATTAGCATATGAAATCAAGAAATGGGAAGAAGAACGAGAATCAAAGTATTTTCATTTGCATTTGGTCTAGCATGTAATCTTATTTTGATTCAATTGCGACTTAGTGTTGGTATATAATGAATTGTTTATGATGGAGTTTATGCAACTAAGCTGACCATGAAATTCTTCTTTTAGTTTACATATATAATGACCATAGATTTACATATTTTATGTTTTATATTTTAACAATAATTCTTATAATATCTTGTGTATCATATCTTATCCAATTCCATGGTTTGAAGCAAAAATGGATTGGATATTTATCATATTTTCTTCGATTCATACTCAAAATAATGCTTTTAGATTATCGCTGACGATGATAATGGATCAAATGTCTTGGTATAAAATTAGATATCCATGTCTACTTATCGTTCTTAATATCAAGTAGGGATTATAAAGAGTTGAGATTTTTTTTTTATATACTCGGGTCTATCTGGATTTAGGTTATCTTTTAATTAGGTCTAAAGACATAATGCCATGTCAAATTTGGGGTTTTATTAAAATTTATCATGTTGTTTTATTATTATTATTATTATTGCAAATATTAAATGATGAAGATGGGATTTGAGTTAGGACACCAGCTAAGCTTTATTTGAACATTTTTCTGTGGATATATTATTTAGTTCTTTTAAGAAACCAAAGCCATGGATTTTATTAGCACCACTATATGAAACACAATCATGTAAATATGGTGCTACGATGAGGATGTGGTGGGGTTACAAAGGAATCCGAGGGATAGCACGCAGACAAAGCTCTGACCTTCTCCGGCATGTCAATAAGAAGGTCTCGCTCATGTCCAACTCGATAGGCTTTTGTTCATCTCCTGTTGGGAGCTCCCAATCGAAGTGGTAGATAAGAGAGGCAAGGGAAGTCTCTAAGCTCGCCAGCCCAAATGACATCCCTGGGCACATCCTCTTTCCTGCCCCGAAATGGCCCACTCCAGTATTGTTGCGGATATCTCGCTGCCCCCACCAAGTAGATCCTTTAAAGTGTTCATTGCAAATTGAAACCAGAAGTTAGATTCTCGATAGGGCATCCATGAAATTGCCACTGTCCTGCAAGATTAGGGCTTCAAAGAAAGCATATCAGGATAATAGCTTTCATGTACTCGTCTGCGAGGGGAAATGACAGGCCACCTTCGTCTTGAACTCTCAGCATGGCATCGACCAAGTCCTCCTCTAGTTGCTCTACAGACTTCCTCTCTTTGTGCTCTTGAATGATGCTATTCAGGATTGCATCTATTTCCCGGTGTAATCTCTGCAGTTTGGAAGACATGCCACTGAGAACGTTAATTATCAGCCATGCCGGGAATAAATCGGCCAAACTGAGATCATTAGGTCATATCTCAGTGAAACTACTTGATATTTTTTTAATTTGTTGAGAGAAACACGATACAAAGGATCGATTACTCCATTTTGATGCAATATTTGATTATGTAGATCCAATTTAAATTTTGAAACTTCCATTTGCAATGTCATTGTTCTTGGCCAAAGCACTACACTATAGATGTTATCTTGTTTCCACTGTATTAGTGTGACTGCTTTACTTTTCTAGAAATAAAATTTAGGCTCACAACCTACCACACATTGAGAGCCGTGGAAATTTTAAGCAGATTGACGTGCTACACTTCGGTTTCATGTATTATGGAGTGATTTCTCACAAAAAGTCCATCTATTTATATTTTTTTAAAGGAAGTGCCTCCGATTACTGTAATTTCCGAAGAATCCTTCATTTTTACCTGATGCTTGGTCTAATTCTGATTTGATAACACGTTATTATCTTTTTTTTCTTCTCTTTCTCTTTATTTTTCTATGGATCGATCTATAAAATAAACTGATCTAGTTATAATGTTTCTGGTAACACTAAAAAACATTATAAAATAATGTTTCTGGATAAATTTTGTAAAAATATTATGTTTTTATGCTATGTTATGATATTTTCAGTATGCTAGGAAAATATTGTAATGTAGTGTCAAAAAAATTATAACTGAATTGATTCATCTTATTGGAAACACAAGCCAGTGGTAAACTGCTTCGGACTCCTACTGATGATTACACAGATGCCTTCCAATTTTTTCCTTAATGCTTAATTATATACAACCTTTGATCCTTATCAATATATAACAATGCATATAATTATTATGTAACACATGATTTAGAGCCCCCCTAATGGGCCTCCCATCCCATCCCTTCAACAAAAATATTCGTAGAAATTAAGATGCGAATAAATTATTACTGCCTTCCATTTGGACAGCATAGAGAAATTTCCTCCCTTGATATATAAGATTAATTATATATTACTAATTAATTATCTTTAGCATTTCAATCCTTATGTTTTCAAAAGTTACATTGAGATCTTTATACTCATGAAAATGAAACATTTAATCTCGTTGCTTCAATAAAATCTCTTTCTTTCTTAATTTTTAATTTTATGAAATTATATTTTAATCCTGTATAGGGGTCTCAATATTTTACTTTCGTAAATATAGGGATCCTAATGTAACTTTTGTAAGTGTAAGAATCGAGATATTAAAAATAATTAATTACAGGGGATAATATGTAATTAGTTTATATGGTATATTATTTCTCATCAAGCCTTCGAAATGCTTTTGCTGATATTAAAAATTGAAGAGAAAATATGTTACCCTTCATTAATGATTGAAGGCCATAAGGATATCATGATTTCATGGCCTCAGATGCAATCACTCCTGGAGCACTAGGTTGAGCACTCAAATCATGCAACTAAATGATGCATCACAATGAAGTGGATGAAAATATTTTTTTGTTTTCATTTGTGAAATTGCATCTCCTATTTGGAGGGAAATTGACCGTCAAAGTGGATAGAGAGGATGAGTTCAAATGTTAAACAGTTAAAGAGGAGAAGAAGATTAGGGGGTTAGTCCTTTCCATTACTCAACATTATTAAGCATTCAACCTCCATCTACTTCAAGAAACTACCATCAAGTTCTAACTCTATAAGGCAATCACCAGCAATGTCCTTTTCTTATTGAGAGTGCGTTTGAGATATTTTCTATGAAGACAAAAGAAGAGAAAAAAAAGCTGCTGCCCAACTCACAAAAGCTTTTATCAGTTTAGAAGTAATTTGTCAAACCTGGATTATGAGAATAGCCCGACTAGGTTTGGATTGTGAGAATAACCGTCCTCCGCACCAATCTTCAAGAGTGGAGAAGAAAGGTCAAGGATGAGGATCCTCGATGCAGCGCTGGACCTCTTTAGCAATGAGCATCTTTAGCATATTATCAAGAGACAACCTACATAGGTAGATTTAAAATTTTAATAAATAGGATATGACATATAGCAGATGTTGTAGAACTATTGGAGCAATATCTTTTATCAGCGAGCATCTTTACCTTGTTATCAAGAGAAGACCTATCATTCATGACAAAATTACTCTTAAGTATGTTTTCTGGTAACACTTGTATCATTATTAAATATGATAGTTAGAAATCCATTTTTTGTCAACTCGACCTTGGTAGTTTCTCTTTGCGTATCATACATAATTATGCATAGAATAATATCTAAAAGACAACTTCGAAGATGAAGATGAAGGAGAAATTTTGTATGACATTCTTGTGCATATGCAATTGTAAATACACACATATGGATATATGAATGTGTGCATTTATAATTTATTCAATGATTGACAAGAAATCCACTTTACCATATTTCGTTAATAGCCATGGAATTTTCCTTTTTCAGTTATTCAAGGAACATCTTATATGCTAATTCAATGTGCCAATTGCTTTAGCTTCAAGTACCCGATGAATCTTTGTCACTGCTTATGGGAATGGGTTACAAAGAAAATGCAGCGAAAAGGGCGCTAAGAATGACCGGTCAAGACGTTCAGCCAGCAGTTCATTTCCTGGTTGAAGAGCTAGGAAAATACTCAGGAAACAGGAGAATATTCAGCGACAAGGAGAGATTTTGTATAGCTCTATACTTTGCCAGAGAATGTTTTTATCTTATTTTTTAGTTAATGATTGTTGCTGATTGTATGAACTTGTAGAGAACAGAGGAGATATGGTACTAATAAATCATGGCATATAGCATAATGTGACAGATGTAATGGCTTTGCTTCTGTGGATTGTGAAACATTAGATTGTGTCAGGCACTTATCAGATTGCTCTCTGGTGTCTAGGATCAATACATGTACACTACTAGTCAATCTATTTTGCAGTTTTGATAGAGATCTTGCTGCACAGGCTCTTAGGGTGAATGAAAATGAAGTTCAAAAAGCGTTAGATCTTTTGACAAATCCTGAGAGCCCTTCAGGTACTTGGTTTTCTTTAGAGTGTTTCTCTATTATCATTTTCACTAACTAATGACCTTTTGACTGCCAGAGTCGACTTGGAAGTTGGGAGTATCGGATTCTTCAGGTGCAGACGTTGAGGAATTAGTATCCATGGGGTATAACCGATCATCAGGTATTTCATCGCTTCATTTATTCCTCAGACAATCAAGTGTTTCATGCATTTATTTCAGACCAGGGTGCCCTTCTCGTGATGACTCCCAGGCATCTAATGTTGCCCTAGTTATCTGACCATACTTAATTTTTACAAACAATATATTCTATATGCTTGACCATAGATCTCCATTAGCTCCAGTTACACTGTCAAGTACTTGCGTTCGGAATTAACTATTCTTAACTGCAGTTGTGGACGCTGTGCAAAGGTCACTTACCAAGGAGGATGTGTTGAAACTTCCTGTCGGAGCAAATTCAGAGGATAGCCAGCATGCTACAATCAACCAACCGAAAGATGATTAAGGGCCATCAGCTGCTTTAGCTAATGATGATAAAATGGATCTGGGAGGAGAACACAAATATGAGAGAGACGAAGCCATGGAATATGAGCTTGCTCCTTTGGCAGACTACAACACGGAAGTAATGAAAGGAGAGGCCACAACAAAGTGTTTGGCCATTCTGGATTCAAAAGCCAATGCAACATAGGAAATAAGATACATCGGAAGAATCCCATAAATAAGTAAGATAGTGTAGTTTCCTTTTGTATCCCCCAGCATTAATATATTATTATAGAAGATACGACTGCGATTTCTTTTTTTAATTAGCCATAAGTTTTATTTTTTCTCTTTCTGTAATCATCATTTCCAAATGGGTTTTTATGTATTTCTGGCAATGTGCACCCCGTCGCCGAGAGGTCATATATGGTGTTTTACATTTAAAATATCTTGCTTGAAGGGAAAAAGCCTGATCTACTTTGGTTGGAAAAAGCCTGGCTAAATTTACATTCCACTTTGGTTGGAAGTGAATTGTTTTGTTGACTTTTAGAAATTTACACTCCACTTTGGTTGGAAGTGAATAGATTTATCTACTTTTAAATGGTTTCAAGCGTAAAGGCATCTCTATTTTCATTCACAAAATTATCTATAAACACTTGATAATTTTGTGGAAGGAAATAGAGATGTCATTGTTTTATGCCTTAAAAAATGTATATATCATTTTCAATATGGGTGATAGACACGTAGTTAAGAAAAGCTTTACTGAATCACTAATAATCAATCAAGCTGTAAAGCCTGAAACCCCAAACCCTTAACTATTATTAAGAGTTTGGTTTAGTTAGATACTAATATCTATATTTATTCATAATGTCTCATAGTGGGGATGAAATTTTATGGTATCCAAGCTCTTTATCGTAACACGCATCCATGGCAATAATATTGATTTGGTTTGAAATTTTCATCCATAATCGTTAATATTATAAGCCTGCAAGTCCTAATCATAATGAAGTACGCGTGCAACTGACAAGTACTCAAGATATTATTTATGCAGATGCCTTCTATTTGACCTTCCTATTTGCATAGGTTTAGTGCTAGGAAAAGTATGTTTCAATTTATTTGCATGCGTACGTTAACTTGGAGGTAGAATTAGCTTCCTTTGTCATATACATGACACTGCTTAAGTTTGTATATTGGAACTGGTTTATATGTATATGCATACATGCAAACACTCAAAGACACGGCCGGCCGTCTTCAGAGGCCATCAGTTGTATTATTTCTTTGAGCATGCGGTAAGATGGATGCGTACTCGTTGAATAGTGTTTCTAGATAGGGCACCCACGAGTTCTGGGTGCACATCAGTGGACCATCTGCGTGTATCTCTGACGCGCAACAATGAATGGACGACTCTCGACCCACAATTGATGCAAGCACTGATTGGTGTATCCCAAAGATTTGTAAGACAGTGACCAGGTTGACAATGTAACGTATACCAAAATTTGCAAGACAGTGACGAGACAATGGTCGACAATGTCATAGACGTCGGTCATGTTCACAACTCCCTCTGTACAAAGCAATCGTTCATATCCGTATGTTTTTCTTACTTGTCTCTGTATCAAAAAGCCATATGTTTTCTTACTTTTCTTAATTGATGGTTTCGGTTTCTTAAAATTGAGAGCTGAATTCGAATTGAATTGGATCGGTTCTGAAATCAAAGCCGAAATTGGTGGTGCCGATTCCGGTTCGAACGATGAAGACGGGAATCGAGTTAGGACACCGGCCAAGCTTTATTTGAATATTTATCTGTGGATATATTATCATGTAAAGATGGTGCTACAATGAGGATGTTGTGGGATTACAAAGGAATCCGAGGGATTTATTCATGGATATATTATCATATAAAGATGATATTACGATGAGGATGTGGTGGGTTTACAGAGGAATCCGAGGGATAGCACGCAGACAAAGCTCCGACCTCCTCTTGCATGACAATAAGAAAGTCTCGCTCATGTCCAACTCGATATACTTCTGTTCATCTCCTGTTGGGAGCTCCCAATCGAAGTGGTAGATAAGAGAGGCAAGGGTAGTCTCTAAGCTCGCCAACCCAAATGACATCCCCGGGCACATCCTCCTTCCTGCTCCGAAAGGTAGGAACTGGAAGTTGGTTCCCTTGAAGTCGACCATCGAGTTCCTCCCTTCGAATCTCTCTGGCTCGAACTCAGTCGCGTTGTCCCAGTATTGAGGATCCCTTCCTAAGGCCCAAATGTTCACGAACACTCTCGTCTTCTCTGGTATCTGGTAACCAAGAACCTCACTCGCCTCCCGGCACTCTCGGGGGAGCAGCAGAGGAACCGGAGGGTGCAGCCTCAGAGTCTCCTTGATTACCAGTCTCAAGTAGTTCATTCCGTCGATGTCTTCCTCTGTCACCTTTCCCTTTCCTCCGACAGTCTCCCTCACCTCCTCTTGCACCCTCCTCATCACTCTTGGATTCCTCATCAGCTCCGACATGGCCCACTCCAGTATTGTTGCGGAAGTCTCGCTGCCCCCACCAAGTAGATCCTTTAAAGTGTTCATTGCAAAACGAAACCAGAAATTAGATTCTCGATAGGGCATCCAAGAAATAGTCACTGTCCTGTAAGATTAGGGCTTTAAAGAAAGCATACCAGGATAATAGCTTTCACGTACTCGTCTGCGAGGGGAAATGACAGGCCACCTTCGGCTTGAACTCTCAGCATGACATCAACCAAGTCCTCCTCTGGTTGCTCTACGGACTTCCTCTCTTTGTGCTCTTGAATGATGCTATTCAAGATTGCATCTATTTCCCGGTGTAATCTCTGCAGTTTGGAAGACATGCCACTGAGAACGTTAATTATCGGCCATGCCGGGAATAAGTCGGCCAAGCTGAAGCCTCCCGCTGCTTCCAGCGCTTCCGTTATTATCCGTAGGAACTCTTTCTGATACTTGCACTTGCTCCCGATGATGGACCGCGCGGCTATGTCATTAGACAACAGAACAAATTTTCTACTGAGGTTCACAGCGGAACCGGTGTTGGACAGCAGGAGAATCGACTGCACAAGATTAAGCACCTCCTCTTCCCGGATAAAGCGAAAAGATTGGACTCGTTTGACACTCAATAGTTCCAGGATGCTCATCTTGCGCAGCTCTCTCCAACGGGATCCATACGAGGCAAAGCCGATGCCCCTGTCACCGTACGTGAAGGACTGGAGAGTCAAGTTCGTGGGCCGAGAGGCGAAGCTGATGTCGTGGGTCTTCATGATCTCAGCAGCCGCGTCGGGCGAGGAGACGACGAGGGTAGGGACCTCGCCAAGCTTTAGAAGCATGACGGGGCCAAATTTCTTAGACAAGGCAGCGAAGCACTGATGAGGCAAGGCACCAAGGAGATGGTGCAAGCTGCCTACGATAGGGAGATTAGATGGACCGGGCGGCAGTCTGGCACTGGCTCGTCGGCCGGAGCTGTTCTTCTTGAGTAGCAGCAGGAGGAAGAGAAAGAGGAGGGTGGAGAAAAGGAACGCCGTGTTGGTGAAATCCATGGCTCTATGGGAACCAAGGAGCAAGTGACCCCTCCTGTGTTTTTGATAGACATGACAGTGCTTACCTTTTTTGTACATAGTTTCTAGGTTACTTGGTGATGATTGACGTGACCCGATCATGCTATGGCAGCTCAATCAAATCAACTAGTCACGACATGTGGGACTTTAGACCGTTTTACTGAGAGATTTGAACTTGTGCATGTGGAAATTGACTCGATGATGTTGATGAACATTTTGATGAATAGTTATCTTATCCGTCGTTTATACGAAATATTGTTTTACATATTTTTATTTATATAGGAAGAAAAATAAGATGATCAACTGATTGATTAGGTATGCTAAGATTTTTTATTTATTTATTTTTTTTAGAGAGAGGAGTGGTCTTCTCAGCTGAGCTTCTTTTTATTACACGAATGTCTTTTGTAACCCATTGATTTAATTAATCATGTTTATTTTCTTTTAAGAAAAACAAATCTTATCACTAAGTTCTCGATCACTTTGACTATTAATTTAGTTATCCAATCGTGACTGATTCATTATGCAAAGTCGAAGGTATAATCTCTAAAATCAAATCATGACGACAACGAAATGCCGGTCAAATTCTGCTGCTACACAAGAATGAATGAGAATCAACGATAGTGAATAATTACTATATATTGTTTTTCTGAGATCCCTGCCATGCAGACTTTCCGTTTGCTAATTGTTTGTTTCGATCACATAGATAGTTTAGTCTTGAGCATGTCATGTCAGATGAGGTTATAAATCGTAAACTTTTAACGTATCACCATCAAACTATGTCCTGTCCAAAAGCTATTAAATTTATACATCGTTTAAGCAAGTTGTAAGACACAATGAAATGCATGTGTATGAATTTTGAGATTGAAGTTGGCATAGAATAATTTAATTATTCTTGTCATACTTTTTTGTCCGATATCAGACTTGTAAGGAAAACTCATACCATTCTTCAGGGGATAATTACAGATTATTTTTGTAATTAATTATGATTAGCATTTCCATCTTTATACTTTAAAAATTAGTATTATGATCCATACACTTATAAAGTGTAATATTTAACTTCAATTCCTCTTACATTGTTAACTTCGTTGACGGAAAAAAATAACATGTGTAAAAGGGTGTGAATAGAAAGGATAAAAATGTTGTCCGTCGTCTTTTCAATCTATTTGCGTTGCCCATCACACCTGTTACCCATCACTCGCCCACCGCACTTGTCGCTCGTCGCTCATCTATAGCACCTACTCGCTTGCCACACCTACTCATCCGTCGTTTGCCCGTCACAACCCGTTCACATCGATTGGGTCGTCCTTCTCCACTCTTTCTAACCTGCTCATCCACCACTTCGTCATCCCATTGCCCTTCTTTCCATTCCTGATACGTAGACAAATTCATTAGCTCCAAAATTGTCAGGATTAAATGAACTGTTCTTGATATTCTAGTGTACGATTAGGAATAACAAATAGAGAATTTTATGACAGATTCTTATATTTTATACGTGTATTTAATTACAATTTTTACTGCAGTTGTAGCAAAAGGTGTCATCTCTTAAAATAGATAACTTCTAATAGAAATAATCTATAATTACCCCAACAATGTTGCACCTTTCAATAACATCCCATCTGGCAACTCAAGCTGCTGTTCATACCACATACGCATGTTTAGTGCCGGCTGAAGCAAGCTTCACCGATGACGATGAGGTCGTTGTTGGTTAGGGCGGGGATGACAAGGTGACGGGCAAGCAGGTTGGAAAGAGGGGTGATGGACGAGCGGGTGCGACAAGTGAGTGGGTGCGGTGAGCGAGCAATGATCGAGCAAGTATGATAAGTGATTGAGTGCAGTGGCCAAGTTGGTGTGGCGGGTGATGAGCGAATAGATTGGTAAGAGTAGAGGAAGAAGAAATCGATCAGAAAAATTTATATAAAATTAATAATTTAAAAATAATAAAATTACATATTTGTCCTTTCTATTCATGCTCTTCCGTAAGTTAATGATGTAAGGAGAATTTGGATTAAATGTTTCACTTTCTTATAATCTCAATACTATTATTTAAAATATAAAAATCGAAATATTAATCATAATTAATTATAGAAGATAATTCTTAATTATCCTCTCTTCAGGTCACGTCTATGTACGTAAACATAATGCGTTGATATTATCTAACACGTTCTGATGTGACGTGATACTCATCTAAAATGAACATGAGGCTCTGCTCGTGACAGCAGGCTAAACATGAGCTGACGCTTATGTGGCTGGTGAGTCAATGCCTTTTAACTCTCGGCAACCTCCGCTGTCAAGCTGACAGTCATCGATTGAATAATCGATTAATAACAAGGGATGGTTTGAAATTATCATCCACAACCATCACCATTACTAATTTGCGAGTCCTAATCATATTGAAAAACGCATACGGACTGAAGACTGGAGATATATTGACTAAACGGGTGCACTGTAATTGGAACTTGATAGTGCACAAGTCCAGTAACAGAAAAAGTATATTTTTGTGGAACCAGTCAATTTATTGATCTATTTATTTATCGAAAATGATTGACAGGATTGTCAACTACGGCCAAATCCTTTTGGAGATTAATAGAGAAGAGTCATCTCGTCAGATGGGTCATGGATATTAGGTAGTATGCCTTACGTTAGTGGTGTCTAAATTGGATCAAAACTTATGTATTTAATGCTGGAGGAATTCTTTTCCTTGATTATTATTTGGTACATTAGGTCATATCTCAGTGAAATTACTTGATATTTTTTTAATTTGTGAGAGAAACACGATACAAAGGATCGATTACTCCATTGTGATGCAATATTTGATTATGTAGATCCAATTTAAATTTTGAAACTTCAATTTGCAATGTCATTGTTCTTGGCCAAAGCACTAAACTATAGATGTTGTTATATTGTTTCCACTTGTATTAGTTTGACTGCTTTACTTTTCTAGAAACAAAATTTAGGCTCACCACCTACCACACATTGAGAGCCGTGGAAATTTTAAGCAGATTGACGTGCTACACTTCGGTTTCATGTGTTGTGGAGCGATTTCTCACAAAAAGTCCATCTATTTATATATTTTTTAAAGGAAGTGCCTCCGATTGCTATAATTTTCTAAGAATCGTTCATTTTTTCATGATGCTTGGTCTAATTCTGATTTGATAACACGTCATTATCTTTTTTTTCTTCTCTTTCTCTTTATTTTTCTATGGATGGATCTATAAAATAAACTGATCTAGTTATAATGTTTCCAATAAACCTAAAAATAATCATAACATAATGTTTCTGGATAAATTTTGTAAAAATATTATGTTTTTATACTATGTTATGATATTTTCAGCATGCTAGAAAAATATTGTAATGCAGTGTAAAAAATTATAACTGAATTGATTCATCTTATTGGAAACACAAGCCAGAGGTAAGTTGCCTCGGACTCCTGCTGATGATTATACATATGCCTTCCAATTTTTTTCTCGATGCATATAATTATTATGCAACACATGATTCGGAGACCCGCTAGTGGGCCTCTCATCTCATCCCTTCGACAAAAATATTCAAAGAAATTAAGAGGTGAGTAAATTATTAGTGCCATCCATGGATAGCATAGATAAATTTCCTCCTTGATATGGTATAAGGCTAATTACATATTACTAATTAGCTATTTTTAGCATCCTGATCTCTATACTTTCAAAAGTTACATTGAGATTTTTATACTCATGAAAATGAAACATTTAATCTCGTTGCTTCAATAAAATCTCTCTCTTTCTTGATTTTTAATCTTATGAAATTATTTTTTTAATCTTATATAGGGGTCTCAATATTTTACTTTCATAAATATAAGAATCCCACTGTAACTTTGGAAAGCGTAGGAACCGAGACACTAAAAATAACTAATTACATGGGATAATATATATTAGTCTATATGATATACTATTTCTTATCAAGCCTTCGAAATGTTTTTGCTGATATTAAAAACTGAAGAGAGAATATGTTACTCTTTATTAATGATAGAAGGCCATACCGATATCATGATTTGTTGGCCTCAGATGTAATCACTCCTGGAGCACTAGGTTTAGCACTCAAATCATGCAACTAAATGATGCATTACAGTGATGTGGATGAAAATATTTTTTTGTTTTCATTTGTGAAATTGCATCTCCTATTTGGAGGGAAATTGACCATCAAAGTGGACAGAGAGGATGAGTTCAAACGTTAAACACTTGAAGAGGAGAAGAAGATTAGGGAGTTAGTCATTTCCTTTACTCAACATTATTAAGCATTCAACCTCCATCTACTTCAAGAAACCACCATCAAGTTCTAACTCTATAAGGCAATCACGAGCAATGTCCTTTTCTTATTGAGAGTGCATTTAAGATCTTTTCTATGAAGACAACAAAAGAGAAAAAAAAAGCCGCTGCCCAACTCACAAAAGCTTTTATCAGTTTAGAAGTAATTTGTCAAACCTGGATTATGAGAATAGCCCGACTAGGTTTGGATTGTGAGAATAACCGTCCCCCGCACCAATCTTCAAGAGTGGAGAAGAGAGGTCAAGGATGAGGATCCTCGATGCAGAGCTGAACCTCTTTAGCAATGAGCATCTTTAGCATATTATCAAGAGACAACCTAGATAAGTAGATTTAAAATTTTAATAAATAGGATATGACATATAGCAGATGTTGTAGAACTATTGGAGCAATATCTTTTATCTGCGAGCATCTTTACCTTATTATCAAGAGAAGACCTATCATTCATGACAAAATGATCTGCATATATGAATAGGGAATTAGCAAACTAGGACTTATTTGAGCCCTCTAATTTTTCATTTTACTCTTAAGTATGTTTTCTGGTTGAACACTTGTATCATTATTAAATATGATAGTTAGAAATCCATTTTTTGTCAACTCGACCTTGGTAGTTTCTCTTTGCGTATCATACATAATTATGCATAGAATAATATCCAAAAGACAACTTCGAAGATGAAGATGAAGGAGAAATTTTGTATGACATTCTTGTGCATATGCAATTGTAAATACACACATATGTATATATGAATTGTGCATTTATAATCTATTCAATGATTGAGAAGAAATCCAGTTTACCAGATTTCGTCAATAGCTGTGGAATTTTCCTTTTTCAGTTATTCAAGGAACATCTTATATGCTAATTCAATGTGACAATAGCTTTAGCTTCAAGTACCCGATGAAGCTTTGTCACTGCTCATGGGAATGGGTTACAAAGAAAATGCAGCGAAAAGGGCCCTAAGAATGACCGGTCAAGACGTTCAGCCAGCAGTTCATTTCCTGGTTGAAGAGCAAGCTAGGAAAATACTCAGGAAACAGGAGAACATTCAGCGACAAGCGGAGATTTTGTATAGCTCTATACTTTACCATAGAATGTTTTTGTCTCATTTTTTAATTAATGATTGTTGCTGATTGTATGAACTTGTAGAGAACAGAGGAGATATGGTACTAATAAATCATGGCATATAGCATAATGTGACAGATGTAATGGCTTTGCTTCTGTGGATTGTGAAACATTAGATTGTGTCAGGCACTTATCAGATTGCTCTCTGGTGTCTAGGATCATTACATGTACACTACTAGTCAATCTATTTTGCAGTTTTGATAGAGATCTTGCTGCACAGGCTCTTAGGGTGAACGAAAATGAAGTTAAAAAAGCATTAGATCTGTTGACAAATCCTGAAAGAAATTGTGCCCTTCTGGTACTTGGTTTTCTTTAGAGTGCTTCTATATTATCATTTTCACTAACTAATGACCTTTTGACTGCGAGAATCGACTTGGCAGTTGGGAGTATAGGATTCCTCAGGTGCAGACATCGAGGAATTAGTATCCTTGTGGTATAACCGATCATCAGGTATTTCATCGCTTCATTTATTCCTCGGACAATCAAGTGTTTCATGCATTTATTTCAGACAAGGGTGCCCTTCTCGTGATGACTCCCAGGCATCTAATGTTGCCCTAGTTATCTGACCATTCTTATTTTCACAAGCAGTAGATTCCATATGCTTGACCAGATCTCCATTAGCTCCTGTTGCACTGTCCGGTACTTGCGTTCGGAATTAACTATTCTTGACTGCAGTTGTGGATGCTGTGCGAAGGTCATGTAACAAGGATGATGCGTTGAAACTTCTTGCCGGAGCAAATTCAGAGGACAGCCAGCATGCTATAATCAACCAACCGAAAGATGATCAAGGGCCATCAGCCGCTTTAGCTAATGAAGATAAAATGGATCTGGGAGGAGAACACAAATATGAGAGAGACGAAGCCGTGGAAGACGAGCTTGCGAAAGAACTGACCGGTGATCCATTGGCAGACTACGACGCGGAAGTAATGAAAGAAGGAGAGGCCATAGCAAAGTATTTGGCCCTTCTGGATTCAAAAGCCAATGCAACATAGGAAATAAGATACACAGGTTCTTCCAGAATCCAGTAAATAAGTAAGATAGTGTAGTTTCCTTTTATATCCTCCAGCATTAATATAGTATTATAAAAGATACGACTGCGATTTCTTTTTTAAATAGCCTTAAGTTTTCTTTTTGTAATCATTCATTTCCAAATGGGTTTTTATCTATCTGGCAATGTGCACCCAGCAGCGGAGAGGTCATATATGGTGTTTTACATTTAAAATTTCATGCTCCAAGGGAAAAAGCCGGAACTAGTTGTTATGCTTAATTTACGCTCCACTTTGGTTGGAAGTGAATAGATTTGTCGACTTTAGATGATTTCATGCGTAAAGGCATCTCTATTCCCATCCACAAAATTATCTATAAACACTTAATAATTTTGTGGACCGGAAAAGAGATGTCATTGTTTTACGCCTTCAAAAATGGATATATCATTTTGAACATAAATGATAGACATGTGATTAAGAGAAATTTTACGAAATCACTAATAATCAAACAATCTGTAAAGCTTGGAACCTCAAACCCTTAACTATTATTAAGAGTTTGGTTTAGTTGGAAACTAATATCTATCTTTATTCATAATGTCTCTTAGTCAGGCTAGAGATATTGTTGACTAGAAAACAAGGCATATCAGGATTTGGATGAACCTTTACAATATCATGCTTTATCGTAACACTCGTCCTTGGCAATAATATTTAACTATTTCAAAAATCAAAACAGAGATCTTTTTATTTCATAAATATTATTTCATTTTATTAAACTGCCCATAATAGGGCTTCACACGAACGAGCCTCTTATACCGTATCAACACTATTTATATGAAGTGCAACACATTTCTGTAATAATGCTGCTGACTGCTGGGTAGAAGTGCATGCATGAAGAAATGACTACGGGTGCATGTATTTTTAAGTAAAGGTCAGGTCATGGAGAAAGGAATACGAGGGATGGCACGTAGACAGAGGTCCGACTTCCTCCGGCACGTAATCGAGAAGGTCTCGCTCATGTCCAACTCCTGGGGCATCCCTTCATCTCCCGATGGGAGCTCCCAATCAAAGTTGTAGAGAAGGCTAGCCAGGGAAAGCTCTATGCTCTTCAAACCAAATGACATCCCTGGGCATATCCTCCTCCCTGCCCCGAAAGGTAAGAACTCAAAGTTGGTTCCCTTGAAGTCGACCATGGAATTCCTCCTCTCGAATCTCTCTGGCTCAAACTCAGTGGGATTGTCCCAGTGTCGAGGATCCCTTCCCAAGGCCCAAACGTTCACGAATACTCTTGTCTTCTCTGGTATCTGGTAACCAAGAACCTCGCACGTCTCCCGGCACTCTCGGGGGAGCAGCAGAGGAACAGGAGGGTGCAGCCTCAGAGTCTCCTTGATGACCAGTTTCAAGTAGTTCATTCCGTTGATGTCCTTCTCCGTCACCTTTCCCTTTTCTCCGACAGTCTCCCTCACCTCCTCTTGCAACTTCCGCATCACTCTTGGATTCCTCATCAGCTCCGACATGGCCCACTCCATTA